ATAACCTAGATTTCTTACCTTGATGTAGATTATAATATTTTTCCTGAAACTGCTGTGTTGATGTAGCTGTAAGGTCATTGTGGAGGCTGTTGTCTTTATATAATTTCTTTTACTTTTTTGGGGGCAGGTTCCCAGATTGTGACGAGTCCTATCCTCGTCTAGAGGACCTGCTAACAGGCTCTGAACCCACTGACCAATCATCAATGGCCGTCCAAAGAGATTATGGTTTCTGGTGCCCCAGAGAGCTCAAGGTCGACCCAGACCTGGGTTACACTTTTATGGGCAGGAAGGACTGTTCTGCCCCATGCCCCTCAATGTTCTTCAACCAGCAGGAGCTCACCTTCATCCGATACTTCATTGGAGTTGTTTCCATTGTTTGTCTGTCTGCAACGCTCTTCACCTTCCTGACATTCCTGATTGATGTTACAAGGTTTGAAAAGCTGAATGTAATTTCTTTGAAAGTATTAGTATCGTTGCAGTGGAGAAAGACACAAAGTCATTTTCTTTTATCTTCCTCAATAGGTTCCGGTACCCTGAGCGACCAATCATCTTCTATGCTGTGTGTTACGTCATGGTGTCGCTGGTGTTTTTCCTGGGTTTCCTGCTGGAAGGCAGGGTCGCGTGCAACCCTGTCAGCCCTTCCCAGTTCAGAGCATCCACCATAACACAGGGCTCACACAACAAGGTTTTTGCTCATTTTTATGGAATCTGGGGGAAAAAACTGCCCGATTTAAAATTGTCGGCACATCTGTGATGATTTACTGGGCTAAAAACTTCTAAACTAGATTTAAAATTATTTCCTTTGTGGTCGAATAATGAGGTTGACGGATGTTTACTTAGCAATTAATAAAAATAACTATGCTACACTTTAAAAATGCTGTCTTATTAACTTCATTACTTTATCTTTATTACACAGTGCAATTATCTATTTACTGACTTCGAGCGCACACGTGTCATGAATTTACTTTTTACTACTATATAGTTGCAGATTTACAGTTTTGATGACCTTTCCCAAATGATTAATTGATCAGAGGTTTTCCCTCCTGTTTCTCTGTCAGGCATGCACCCTGTTCTTCATGGTTTTGTATTTCTTCACTATGGCCGGCAGTGTGTGGTGGGTCATACTGACAATCACTTGGTTCTTGGCTGCCGTGCCTAAATGGGGCAGCGAGGCCATTGAGAAGAAAGCCCTCCTCTTCCATGCGATTGCCTGGGGCCTCCCAGGGGCCCTGACCGTCACCCTGTTGGCCCTGAATAAAATCGAGGGAGATGGGATCAGTGGAGTGTGTTTCATAGGGCTGTATGACATAGACGCCCTGAGGTGGTTTGTTCTGGCTCCGCTCTGTGTCAATGTGGCGGTGAGTACAGTTCAGGAGATAAATGAGTGAGTGGGTGGATGAAAGAAGTGGTGAGTAGGATGGATGTGGTGTGAACCGATTAATGACTGCATGAAATAATACAAGTGTGGACATTGGGAGAGATGGATTGGTTAGTAATGATGGGTGGGTCATTAAATGTCTTTTAGACCTGTCTGTCAGTCACCCAACCTTTAAAAGAGTATTTTAAAGGTTCACTGAGCCTTAACTTCTTGTCTGTCTTCTGTCAGGTTGGCGTCTCCCTGCTTTTAGTGGGCATTGTCGCTCTGAACAGGGTGCGCATGGAAATTCCCCTGGAGAAGGAGAACCAGACCAAACTAGTCAAGTTCATGATCCGGATGGGAGTGTTCTCTGTGCTGTACCTGGCTCCCTTGTTCACTGTGATTGGCTGCTACATATACGAGCACACATACCGGAAGATCTGGGAGAAAACATGGATGGAGAACAACTGCAGGCGTTATCACATCCCATGCCCATACAAGGTAAAAGGATGAAAATAAGAAAGTGCACGATGTGATGGTGTTAACCTCACTAGACAAACTATGTTTCATTTCTTACTAGATGATGTAATAATATAGTGAAACTTTAGAGAAAACACTATCTGTGCTTGTTAAGACGCTGCATGTGTAAATCATTTTTACAGCTGCCAGCTGTTGTGCTGCAACTTTATACTTGGATAGCCTGTCTTAAGAAAAAAAAAGTGTCAGAGTAGCTAATCAAATTTGGTAGTCTACAGTCTGAAAGCACATGCTGCCTGTTTTCTCAGCTGCAAACAAATATCAGAGCTCTGTCACTCACAGTTTGTCTGTGCTGTCACACTGCCAAAGTTGAATGGTGAAAATTCGCAGGTGCTCTGTTTTGAGGAATCTGTGTTTTTCTTTCCTTATTGGGGAGGGAGCTTGTCTGTGTCTCAGGAAAGAAAAGTGTAAGACTACTAAACATATCATAAATAATGAGTGAACAAGATACGTCTCCAGTGGAAGGAGTTAACATCAATATGGCTTCCATTCATGCACTCCTCAAATGGTTAGGATTCCCAAGTTGTGAAGTCATCGCACCAACTTAAGTGCGTTCATGTGCTTTTTTAAGTCGGACTGAGGGGACAACATGGACCGGCAAAAGGCAAAGTACTGCAAAATAAACAATAAAGTGTTCATAGCTGATTTTGATATATAGTTACTTAACCTGTCTGACAAAGATTATCTCTAGAATTATCATTTTTTAACTAGTATAAGTTGGTGTATTTGAACATTACCTGGCTCACAGGTAGTAACTAGTAAAGGATAATTTTATTTATGGAACATAATTAAAAAGAACATGTTTGTCAGCTAGTCAGTAGTGGGTGTGTGGCAGAGTCTGTAGAAGGCAAAATAACCCAAGAACACGTGCTGTAGCTAAGTTGATCTAGTTCAGGAAACTAGTATTCAAATCAGGGCAGTGAGCAAAAGAGACCTGAAAGGATGGAGCTTTTATAACCAAGCTCACTGGGCCCAGGTTTAGCTCATACAGCCAGTTACTTCGATCAGCACCTGTAGAACAAATCACAGCACAAACCACAAAACACAGACACATTCACCACCTAGGGGTCATCGCAGTTACTGTTAGAAAATAACTAATATGCAATAAAGGAATGAATCAAACTTTTCTTACAACTATTTTCAGCAAGTTATTTACTTTTATCTGCCGGATTTTAAGAAAATGCAACTCACTTAGCCAAAAAAAAAAGGAAAATCATGTCTGTTTTCTCCGTCTGAAACTCAGTTTTTCCGATCTGACCTCACATGAATACACAATTACTCAAGAATGGAGCTCAACAGGTTTTTTTGTTTTTGTTTTTTAGCTTTTTTACAAGTTAAGCCTTGCCACGTTCTGTAGGCCAGAAATGTATGAAAACACGAGGGAAAAACAAAGTCTCATTTAAAAAAAAAAAAAGTCCAATCAGATAATTTTTCTGGTTAGCCAACATTTTAGCTAGTTTATGGTAGCCACTCGGTTCTGAGAAATAAAAACAAAAATGTACAATTACTAGTTTAACGTAAAGATGATTTTTAATTGGTATCTGGAACCAGGTTTTATTCAGATGAGCTCTTACCTTTGTTGTAGCCAGTGATGTCAGAATTGATTACAGTAGTGGGAAGACATTTAGGAACTACAACAAGAACACCCATGCTTACTTAATGAAAGAAAGCATTGTGGTGAAGTGGTTAGCACTTTCTCTGCACATGTCCTGATTGGCTGGTGCCTTTCACTGTACAGTTGGCATGTTCTCCCTGCATGGGCTTCTTCCCACATTCCAAAGAGACACACATCACATTAGCTGGTGATCCTAAACTGGCCGTAGGTGTGAATGTGAGACCCTGTGGTCACCTGTCTCTCTGTGCTAGCGACCTGTCCAAAATGTACCATGCCTCTTGTCCAATGACTGCTGGGATAGGCTCCAGCCCCCCGCGTCCCTAAGTTAAGCCGTTAAGAAAATGAATGGATAGATGGATTATTTCATGATCAAAGGCCCAATCTCAATTCTCCCCTTCCATTTTTCACTGCAGCTTAGGGCAAGGTCGTCCTCCACGCTCTGTTTGGGGGGCTAGATGACCACTATCCTTCAATTTCCCAAAGAAATGGGATACCTAAGGGCCAAGGGTGGGAGCTGGGATTAGGCCAAAGATGCTGAGTGCTTGGTTGAGAGTGGGTAAGAGCTGGCACTTAGTTGTGTGTGCGGCTGAGTGAGTAGGTATTTGTGAAGGAGGGGAGCAGAGTGCGGCATGCATCATTAGCTCAGCTAATATAGCTCTCAAGACCAATTCCACAAAAAAAAAAACCCTCTCCCATCTTTGTTTTGCTCCGTTTCCTTTTCTCTTTGTATTTCAGTTAATTTTCTCATGCTTGCATCTTTCAGCCCCTTTGCTCCCTTGGCTGCTTAGTCATGGTCTGCTGCCAGTCCTCCATAAGGGCTTTATCGTGTTTATGAAGATAGGTGGGAATGCAGTGATTCATATAGTCCGGTGCTAAATTATTAACCAGATAATTGTGCACAGTGCAGACGCAAACATACTCCATCCCTACCTGTGTGTCAGTCAGTTGGATGCCTGCGCACACACACATACACCTTTACTTCATAAGGCTTTGTCATTGTTTCCATCACTTGTCACTATGTGTGAGTGTGTCTATGTGTTTGTGAAGATCATGAAGATCCCCTTTACGTCCTATTACAGCTCTGGAATTTCAATATTGCTGTGTGTTATGTGATCTTTGCCCGGGGGTTTTCTGTGTGTTCTGGGAGAGGGCGCAGTTGCTTGTTCCTGGATAATTGAAGATTCTTTTGTGGTGTCAAAGTTCATTTGAGTTTCTTTCTTTGTGTGTGTTCACGGGTGGTAATTTACTGAAGACCCAGGGCTTCTCGTTTTATCTGATGATCTAAATAAGACACATTTCATCTCAGCATGGGTGACAGAGACTTAAGCTAATTAATAAATGGAAATTCTTCTGGCCCGGATTTCAAAAACAAGAAACCTCTTATCTCACTAAAAGGCTCAGCTGCTTATGGAATTTACCCTCACTGTAGTGAGGGTAAATTGCTTTAATAGCATCTTTAGGAAGATTTTTATCTTAATTTAAAAAGAAAATTTAAAGAATTTGATATCTTAAAGGCCACCTAAAGTACAATATAATGGTTTTCCACAAAAACCTTTTAACACAGTACTCAGTGTGTTTGATGGTTTCCCAGAGTGAAATTTTATCGGACAGATGAAACCATGATTTGGGATTGAACGACACAGCGTTCTGTTTGTTGTATTTCTTAAGAATCTGGGATTTATATTCAATAAAAAGAGGACCAAGAACTGCTGTAAATCTCTGCCCTCTGCTGGGAGATCCATCAAACAGCTCGGTTTGAGGTGTTTGAGGATTTTAGTTTGTTAAATGTTGGTGGATCCAAAGCTTTTAGCATATCTTTCATTGTTTAGTTGTCGAGGAAATATTCTACTGCACAATTAGTCTGCCTACATTATAATCAAAGCCTTTGTTCTCTTCCTCTCTGTCCTCTGCTTCACTTTACTCTGTGTTTTTAAAAACTCCATGCTGTGCTGATTAGATGATTGCATCATTAACGTGTGCATTTTATTTTATTTTCAGGTTGAGGAGACCAGCAGGCCGGCCATGGTTTTGTTCCTAATTAAATATCTGATGATGCTCGTGGTGGGGATCCCCTCTGTTTTCTGGGTGGGCAGCAAGAAGACCTGTTTTGAGTGGGCCAGTTTCCTACATGGACGCAGGCGCAAAGAGTAAGAAGAGACTGTGTGTCTTTTAATGTTCGAGAGAACTAAATTGAGTTTATCACATCTAATTATGCACTTAGAAGTATCTTGTACTTTGTTTCACGTGCAATTTTCCTTCCCTCTCAGTTGTTCGGGGTTTAGTATCTCTACTGTATTTCCTTTTGTGGTGACACGTTGCTATACAACAGCACATTAATCATTAATCTTCCCTATGCTGTCCTTGTCAACTGTTTTCTTGTCTCTTTCCCGTATTTCTTCTTGAATCCTAAATGTCTTCCTACTCCTTCCCCCCAAATCTGTCTCTTGGTTCCAATTTTATCTGCGACTTGTCCCCTCTGTAAAAACTTCCCACCTCTGACCTCCTTCACCTTTTTCTTTCTGCAGCAGTGGGGTGAATGAGTCTCGCCAGGTTCTGCAAGAGCAGCCGGACTTTGCTCAGTCTCTGCTGCGTGAGCCCAACACCCCCATCGTTAGGAAGTCCAGAGGGACATCCACTCAGGTAGGACTGCAAAGACAACAGTGATTTAAAAAAAAAAAAAAAAAAAGCAGGAAGGAATTATTTATAAGTGCCCTGGGAGTAAAGTTCAAACATGAATGTCCACAGGTTACGGCTTTGAGCTCATTTGAAACTGATGAAAGGAAGAGAAGACTGAAATGAAAGATCGTATCTTGTATGCCTATTGCAGTCTTTTTTGTCAGCATCTAGAAGCTTTGATAAAGGTTTAATCAGACTGGTGTTTTCATGTACATATTTCTTCATTGATGATATTTAGCCGCATCATCAATGAAGCTTTTCAACCCCTGTGAACCTGACTAGGTGTCTAAATAATAAAAGTAATAACCTGAGGCATAATCTTGTCATTAGATTTGAGTCAAGATCCAAAAGATATGAATGTCTTATGCTGGAGTAATGTACACAGAGCCTTGAGCAAGATGTAGCCTTTTGGATTTGAATATTTACACGTTGTGCAAAGGTGTCGGGTGTTAAAATAAATCTTTCATCTCAGCGGTTTCAGCGCTACATGTGTTTGATCTCTCCTCCTGTAGGGTACTTCCACACACGCCTCCTCCACCCACTTAGCTGTTCTAGACGACCTTGATGAACCAGTTAGAACTCACCACGGGCACCCCTCCTCCACCAGGAGTAAGGCCAGCAGCGTCCACAGCAAGGCCAGCTACCACGGCAGCCTGCGGCGCACTCGAGATGACAGGTAGACCAGGAAATCCACGATGCTCTCGCTTCCTCTCAGACAATGTGAATCAGTCGAAGCTCAGCTTTTCTTTCATTGCTTCTCCTCTTAGGAGCGATACCGTGGTTTACCGAGGTACAGAGGACCGCAGTTTCCATGGCAGTTTCCATGGCAGCAATCCACGTCTCGACCATCCGCTCTCCACTCACAGCAGCCTCCATCAGATAGACAGCCACTCGAGGCACAGCAGCCAGCGAGACGTGTCTGTGGCGCCACCTACCCTCATCACACATGGAACAACAGCGAGTGACGGCCGAGCGGCTGAGAACGAAGGCGCCAGCGCCTGAGACACTGGATCAGTGAAAGGATGGAGACGTGAAGCAGATACACAGCAGTCTTTTGTGTGTTTTCTTTTTTGAGGATGGGGAATGTGTCTCTGAGTGCTGTGTTGGTAATCTGTGGTTGTTTGTGAGCAGTAACCATGACTCCTCTAAATTTTGATGGAGTTTGGCTGTAAGGTGGACCAGTTTGCTCACTGAATTATTTTGAGTTTACACCTGGTCTGCTTGATTCAACAGGCTGAGCCAACAGGAATAAATCCCCGTCCTCTTTTGGTGACACTCGAGACATTATTCAGGGAAAGCTAGCAATGGAAACAAACAGACACTGACAAAGGTGTATCTCAGTCTGGTTGATAGTGGCATCATCCATATATTGGTGATCATCTTTCAGGACCTATATGAATATAATGTTAAATACCCAAACACTGCCGACTCCACTGCTCTGGATTGCAGCTCTTAATGAGTGATGTTTGTCTTTGCGTGGCTTCAGAAAATGGAAAAAAAAAATGGGCCTAATGTGAAATTATGGACCTCTCTGTGGTTTATTGAGTTATTTTTATACTGTGAAGTTTGTCTTCTGCTGCTGGAAGCTTCATTGTGTGTGTGTGTGTGTGTGTGTGTGTGTGTGTGTGTGTGAGTGAAAGTGGGAAATGGAGACATGACTAGTGATGTGTTTTTAAATTTTAATTCTCCCCTTGAGCTTGAAGGAGGGAGCTGAAAGACGAAGCGTTTTCCAGCCATGAATGTAAAAGGGTTGTTTCAGAGAGTGATCAAATATGGCCATGGCTGTAATGGATGATCTGTGCTCTTATTTACATGCACAGATATTTATTTCAAGTCAGCCAAAAAAGTATTTTTTGAAGTACTGACATATACAATATAAAAGATGGACATAGCTACCATGTAATCACCCACTAGTTTGTGAAGTCCCACCTTGAAGCTTCGATGAGCCATCTTGCTGTTGAAACTGGATGTGATGGAAGAAAGCCGGTTTGACTGTGAAACTACACTCATTGGCTAACATCCTGTCAATCACAAGTTATCATCATTATTATTCTTATTATATCACAAGTTATTTTTATTCAGCGTGATCTCAAATGAGTGGCTGAAACAATAAACCCAGCAGAAAAGTGTTTCCAGAGGTCATCTTAGAAAACCCCAAGGTTTTTTTTGCTACCACAGCTATCGCCCCCTGGTGACCATAAAACAGGTTGCAGGTTTAAGGCATTCACAACTGGAAGCCACGTCCATCTTTTATATTGTCTTCTGAACTGTCTGCACTGAGACTTGAACCTGGCAAAGAAGCGATAAGGCAACTTTTTAAACAAGCGAGATAATAATTTACACAACAAATGCATGCTCAGTGTTTTATAAGAATAAACGAAATAGCAGGTAAAAATCTAAAATATGCCTCCTGTGGCTTTACAATCTGATTAACATACAACCCCGTGTTTTTTACCCTCTGAAAAAGAAAGCTGATTGACATTAGGTAAGAACAAAATCTGTGCATTCAAACCCCATGGCTGCACAGATAGGACTGTAATTTTAAATGGAAACAGATAGCAGTGCTTCACATGGGTTTCCTTTAGGAAGGAAGTGGATTTTTTTT